AAGATTGTATGTGTCAAGTTTCTTCTGGCGATCTCGCCTATTCTCTGCCATAGTTATCCGTAATTATCGCGGAAGTTCAGAGATACGCGCGATCGACGAATCGATATCGGCCCCGATCTACCTGTGTGCTGCTTGTCGACAGTGGACTGATTCAAGAGGCACCACTCGAGAGGAAGACGTTTGACGCGCGCACGGACGCGCGTGGTGGTTTGCCTGGCCTGACTAAATCGCCGGTCGTTCACCCGGTGTACGCGACTACGAATATTCTTACGCAACGTCCCGATCGGGAGAGATCGGAGCGCGGAGGAAAGTTTCTCCAGCACGAGGGGGAGAGTGTTTTCCTCGCATCGGGAAAGTCGGAGCGGAGTGACACGTGCGAGCCGCAGAGGAGCCGTTTTAATTCGCAGTTTCTCTTCTTCTTCTTCTTGAACTCCTGCTATAGAGGGAGGACTGGCTCCAAATCTAGAAATTAGAGACCCACTCGGACATAATTGAATGACAGGCGGTGCGTGTCGCGGGGGGATGTGCGCCACCGTCCTGAAGTAGGATCCTCCTCTGCCCGCGGGGTCCTTTCCACCCGGAAAGTGATCCAGCCACGGATGTGACACCGTTGCCGTCGTCGTCGCGATAAAGGATTGAAGCTTTGCTATGCGCTCCGGGCTGATTACTATGAGAGAATGAGCTGTTCGGTGAAGATCTCTTGCGGCAAGGGCTGGGGTGGCTCGCAGCGTAAGATCGGCTCCCTCGCGGAGGAAGCGAGCTCCCCTGGATCCTCGATCACCTGCACCGGTGGCCTCCAGGCGGTCCAGCCGAGCGCGACGAGCACGACCAACAACACCACTACCACCACCACCACCACCACCACTACCGTCACCGTAGCCTCCAGCAACCCTGTCGTCGTCACCACCAGCACCGTCACCACCGCTTCTACCGCTACTACAGTCGCCGCGAGCGTAAACGTCATCGCGGCCGGTAATCAGAAGGTGGTCCCACCACGCCCCGTCAAGTCGATCGCCGCGAAGAAAGGGGAGGACATTACAAAGCTGTTCAAGTACATCGAGGATAACGTCATCGGCAAGAACAGCACGTTCTTCGGGCCATTCGGCCGCAGGAAAGGTCAGTGATCAATATAGTGGACGCACCGCTTCGTTACCCCTTCTCGCGCCCCCCCCCTCCTCTCCCCTCGCGCGTGCCCGCCCCTTGTTACTCATCCCTAGACCCTCTGCATACATGGCGGACGTGCCAAGAAGCGAGTCATGCGATTCGTCGCCCGTTGGAATTGTCAGGGTGCATATAATCATACTTAACTTTTTCCCTGAGATGGAAACGAGAAAAGTGAAATTGTTGCTGTTGGAGATAATGGTGATAATTTTTCACCTTTCACGTTTCCGCCCTGAGGAAAAGTTATATATTCACATGGAAAAAGAGTCTGGTTGGAATTTTAATTGAAAATGAATAAATTAGAATTTACTGTATTATGATTAAAATAAGACTGTTTATATGAATAAGCCAACTAAGTGAATGAGAAATATCTATTAATTAATATATTTTAAATATTACGTCAAAGTTAGATGTTGACATAATAAAAGTTTTAAATAAATTTTATCTCAGAACATATGACTGCCGATTACTTTCGATCCTGCAACATAATAATCAAAGTGAAATAAAATTATTTCTCATAAAATAAATCCTGGCTAAGATAATATTTTTCACAACAAGTTTTCTTTACAAGTTTTAAGATGCTAGTAGCATTAAATCGAAGATCTTGTAATTTAATTTGGAGGAAATTATTATATTTTAGCTTGATTGTGTGACAAGATCGAAATAGGCGCGCAGTCGTACATCTAAGATAAAATTTTAGATACATATAGATGTATTATTCCAATATCTAGTACTTCGATCGTAGTAGAATTTAATTTGAGTTTATTATAATTTTAATTGAGGTATTCCGAATTCTGATATTGTGATATAATATTTAATTTAATTTAATTTATTTTTTAATTTTAATTTAATTTATTGTGAATTGTGAATACACAAATGGCGAGCAATTAGCAATACTGCTGCTATTGAGCCCCCCAGGACAATGAATATTATAACATAAAATAAAATAGAGCAGTACGTGTAACAATCTAAATTAACAGTTACAAATATGTACATAACGGTATGTGTGATAGATGAGTTGAATGATTACGATGTGACGGTAACATGTCTCAGAATGAATTAGAAACATTTGCTAGATATTAAATTTTTTAATAAGAGATCACTGATAAGATCAAACTAATAAGAGATAATATAATCAATATTTTCTGGTTTATCTAGTTTCATAACCAGAAATTTTTCTTAGTACAATAGGAAAGAATTTTGCTGAAAGATCGAAAATTTTGCTGGAAGCAAGCTTGAAAATAATTTTGCTGGACCATCAGAATAATTATGTTCGTGGAAAGAACAATTTTGCTGAGAGATCTAAAATTTTGCTGGATGCAGACCTGAAAATAAATTTGCTGGACTATCAGAATAATCATGTTGGAAACTAAAAAAATTATGAGCAACGCTGGAAAAAATTTTGATATTCTAGCATCCAGCTTGAATTTCTAACAAAATTATTTTCAGATCTGTGGCCAGCAAAATTTTAGATCTTTCAAATTGTGCTTTTCGTATACAATTTAAGATATAAGTTGAATAAAATACGGCGTGTCATTTTCTACCTATCTCGTTGTTTAGTTAACAATAATTGTAAGCGAAGCCCCTATCTTTGTAGCGAGTCGGAATGATTGGCATCCCGATGAAATTGAATACGCCAGTTCTCTCAAGGTCGTAGATAATTTCTTGGAGCAATTTTTTTTAGCACCTCGGGGAATGCGATTATCGCGTTCGAAGTTATCGGAAAATTACGTCGGCTTAATTTGTCGAAATTTAAATTGTTTCTTACATGTACTGTATCTCTATGACTCATTCGTCGCGATATTAAATTACATACTTATCTAGAACAATGATAAAATTAGAAATTTTCACATATAATTGTTTATTAGCTATTTCTTCTTTTATAATTCGAAATATGTTAATAGGATTTTTTCATTGGAGAAGTCTTCAATCCTTCGGAGCTGACGAAGAGTTAAACTCAGGCCCGGTTCCTCCACTGTATATAAGATTAACTTCAATCTCGATTTAAATTGTTGTTTATCTTTTCTTAATTCTTAGAATTAATTAGTTTTAGTCTCGGCTTAATTTACTGTCTATCTTTTTTTAATTCTATTAGAAATTCTATTAGAATTAGAAAAAAATAAACAACAGATAAACAGTAAATTAAAAAGATAAACAACAGATAACAGTAAATTGAATTAAGATTGAAGTTTCTCATTGATGAAAACGGGCATCATTCAATTCTATCTTATGTTATATCTACAATAACTTTGAATTATTCTTATTAAAATATACTTACTATTCTTTAATGTTCTTTAACATTCGCTACATACTATGTATAAATATACTTATTATTTTTATACGAGTACTTCTTATTTTTTATACGAGTTATTTTGTTTCCTTGAAATTAATTAGTATTTTTTAATTAACATAGATTAAATGAATCTTATAAGACCCAGCATCAATGTTATAGATTTAATGTGTTCGGAAGATTAATCGATTTTGTTAGCTTTAATTGCGATCTATCAGACTGCTACAATTATACAGAATTGCTTTGAATTATGAGGAATATAGGATCTATTTTTAGATTTCGTCATATTTAGAAAAAAAATATAATGTACTGTAATTGTAACAATTGAGGGGATGGGCGGAATAAAGGCCTAATTATAAAATCTTGATATTAATAACAATTAAAATAACTTGCTATTTTTTTATTATACATAAATGAATACAATATTAAATTTATGTAATGTCTTTAAGAAGTTACATGTTATAAATCTCTCTCTTCTCTACTACGATCAATATTACATGAAAAAGCTAATTACCGGGAAAAGGGCCTAAGTAGAATTGTGCCTTTATTCCGTCCATCCTCTTAATTGTTACAAGGTACTCATTTGTTTGCTTACAAAATCAAAATGCAATTATTCGTTGTTGCTCCGAAAATAAAAAATATACTCATGAGTTAACGTAATAATGATATAAGTACTCGGGCTGAACTTTATTCAGAACCAGGGCCGATGTAACTTTCTGATAATCTCGCGCACGAGTTCGCTAACAAGTAAAGTGTGAAGTGATGAAGAATTCACTTGTCGAGTTATGTCATGGCATAAACCTTCGCCCGCGCTCGATTGGGACACCCTCCAAGTGCAGTTGGCGTATACCTTTCTTAATTCGATACTACCCCACGAGCGATAGCGCGAAACCCTTGCCGTGTGTTTCGAAGTATCCTCAATTAAGAGCATAAAGCCGTATATTTTTAGCTGTCGATCGATTGCTCGCGGAAGATTTTTCGTTGACCCGCGCATCGCGCCGATCAACGCATTCGACATCGAGAGCTGATCAATCATGATTTCTTTCTCCGTCGAAAATTTCCTCCTTGCGTCGTCCATCACGATCGTTTTTACCTTGCATTCTCGTCCTTTTCCATAAGCGCATGTAAAAAGAATGATTTTGTTGAAGTGTCTCAAAATTTAACTAGATACCAATTTGAAGATAATTTTGTTGAACTATCTAAATAATTACGTAGAAATCTCAAGCCTAATGAGCAATAAATGTAAAAAGTTTTAACGTTCTAGTTACTCATTTAAGCGTTCTACATCATTATTTTGATAGTCTAACAAAATTATTTTCAAAATTGTATCTAGCTAAATTTTTAGATTCTTTAACAGAAATAAATTCCCTCTCTTACCGTATATACAAAAATATACAAATATAATTATTATTGCTAATATTATAGCAGTAATTATAAAAATGGAGTGAGTAAAATGGAGTTCTGACCATAATTATTTTACTATGCAATTATCTATATCAATAATCATAGATACAATACTTTTCTCTCTTCAGTGTTTCACACTCCATCGACATACGTACATACCTCTTTTACTTTTGCATCTAAACAAAGTGACGTTCAACAAACATAAAACCGTAATAAGCAAGTTGGCGCGTAAATTTTTCTGTAACAACAACTCATTTGAGTTGTGCAAAACATTTTCCTTATCAAGCGCATTTATCGTATCGTTGGCACGTGTAAACACTTTGCTGTTCAAGTTTATTTGACGGTTTCGGTTGAACACCATCAGAAGGTGTCATTGTCCGAGGATCGCCTCAAAGACCACGTGTTACCGAGGAAACTCGTCACGATCAATAAAAGGCTCGCGTGAAAAGTGTCGCGAAGGACCTTGAACACGAAAGGAAGAGAGAGAGAGAGAGAGGGGGGAGAGAGAGAGAGAGAGAGAGAGAGAGAGAGAGAGAAAGAGAGGAGGGCCTCTGTCATATCACATCAAAGGAATTGGTGGTTAACATCATTCGCAAAGGACGACGATGACGGACTATTTGGAGTACGAATTGTAACTTATTTGCGCGAGAAGTTGGTTTCTTCGGGCTGCTCGCTCATAAATATCGGGCTGACGTCATGCATCGCTCGGCGCGACGGCGACCTTAACTCTCTTTCGCGCGCTAGATAGCTCTCTAACGGAATCGCGTGGCGGCTGGATGTCGCATCGTGTCGCGAGCTGAGATATCTTGAACGTTACGGCGACGCGACGCGACGATCGACTTATTTGCTTAACGAAGTGAAAGTTCGACGGATCTTAAAATGCAGATCGGCTCGCGTGCGGAGCGCGACAGGGATCGGTAGTTTCTATCACAAATTTATGAGTTTCAACTTCGATTTACGGACCTCAATGATTACTCTATGCTTTTCTCAATCAAGCGACTATTACCAGGTCACGTGACTTGTTACAGTTCCGTGTTCGAGAGATGCAGCTGTATACGGATATTACGAATGCTTTTGCTGAATTGTCTGAGACTGCAGATATTCATAGTCAGTTTTTATAAATGAGACCATCTTAAGTACAGTTTGAAGATGTCGTGAACTAGTCACATGTGGAAAAAAATGATTTTGTTAAAGTATTAAAAAATTTAGCTAGATATACTAATCTGAAAATAATTTCGTCGAACCATCAAAATAATTACGT